CTGTTTTATTTTCCTCTGTATCTCATTGTCCATGATAAAACCAGCTCTCTGAACCTTGGAACACAGGAGAAACAGAACAACAGAAATGTTTCTTCCTGATGCTTCTCATAAAAATTTATGAAATGCTTTTTCAGTCTCTGTATTTTCATATTTATTTACTTTATCCTAATTAAATTTCCATATTGAAAACAACATGTTATTGTTTTTGCAGGTAATAGTTTCTCTATCAAAAAAGTTAAAAAAGAAAATGGGCCCCAAAATGCATGAAACAGCTGTGTGTGAACCCTGAAATACAAGCCATAGAAGGGAAGGTAGGAAGACAGGACTCAGAGGTGAGATTTCTGCTTGTCCTTTTTTCTCCCTGGCTTGGACTCCAGGCAGCCCTGGGACTGAAAGGGATCCCATATGAGACAGGACAAACCCCTTGTTCAGTGTTCCATCCTGAGAAAGGTGACTCTTGATGCTCTGAGTAGGATTGAGAAATCATGTTTTGTTTTCCTGCTGTCCATTTTCAATACCCCATCCTTCAGGACATCTGGCTTCACTGACAGCAGTCACAGCAGAAGGCGTAAGGACCTGATCTAGAGTGCATCCAAGAGGATGGCATGAAGCTTCCTTGGTTCTGTTGCCTTGTCTTCCTGGTACTCAGCCTGGACACATGTATAGGCATAGATGTGCTCAGCAATAAACATACACTTTGTTAAACCAGCAGGAGAAGGGTAAGCACCACAGATAAGGTTTAAGGAGGTTGAGATGAGGTTGGGAAAGCAACCACCCAGATCACTTATGATCTTATTATGGCCTTACCTCTATACTGCAGACACATGGATCTGATACTAAAGATGCAAAAACTGAAAACAGGGTTGAGGGGTAGGGATAGTCCACAACCAGTTTCCAAGTGGGAGACTGTATGGTGTATATACAAAGTAAATGCAAAGAGTATTGCAAAACTTTTATAAAGTAACCTACTCATGGAAAGTTAGAACTTGTATCTTGAACTCAACTTAGCAGACTGCCTGCTAAGACAGAAATATGCAAATATGATCTTAACAAGATGCAAGAGTTTTATAAAATAATATTGGAAGTCTGGAATAGAGTCCAACTATCTTGATATATAATGGATTTAGGGAAGCTCAACATTCATGTGAAAGACAGTCAGGAGATGACAGAAGTGTTACATTTCTCTGACAAAGGCTTTAGGGCACCCCTTGCAAAATCCATCCCAGAAATAAGGGCAAACACTATTGAAGTGAATGGAAATCTAGAAAAATACAGGAAGGAAATTAAAGTTTAAAGGAGAGAAATGTGTGGAATGATTACATATGGACACTCTCCTGGAGATATGAAATGAAAAATAGATGCTAAACAGGAGTCACCCTGATTAGCCTCATAATATAAACTAATCAATAAAATACACAGAAGGGAAAATTTAACAGTAAAAGAATCTTCCCAAAAACAGAAAAAAAAATTATCAGTAACCTGTGGGATAATCATGTGACTTATTATATAGGAAATGAGTGTCCTCAAAGGAGAACAAACAGATAGAAATTATAGTCTAATCTGTGATTCATCAAGTACAATTAAATCCACACATTCAAAAAGTTCAAATGTCAGAACAGGAACATGGAAAGAGCCACATGTGGGCTCATTAAATGCATCTTGTTTTCATGAAAACTTTTTTTTTCCACCCTGGATTTTATTTGGTAGGTAGTTACAATAGTGTGATTGATCTGGCTCATGTACATGCAGTCAGCTGGGTCCCAGGGTGGCTCTTTGCAAAGCTGAGGTGCAAGCTAAGGAAGCCAGGCAGGTCAGGGGTCCTTTCTACCTTCTTAAGCCTCCACCTGAGTTCTTGTCAATTCTAGTCTCCCTGGCATGATTAGGGACATTATCAGAGAAACATAATAGGGGGCACATCTGGGCACTTATTCTCTTTGCTGCAGAAGCATTTATTCAACCACCCCAAAATTCAACTCTTGACCCGATATGAGACCTTTTAAACCAGGATTTCTTGCAGGAAAGCTGACTTGGAAACATGGGGAGGTAGGAGGAAGGAGCAATAAGAGGGACCCTGGGAAGCAGATTGGGTGCCTACAGTAAAGAACCCTTGAGCTAGGTACCTTGGGTCAGGAAGAAACCTGCACTGCAGGTCCTGCCCTTCTTCAGGAACCAAAAGCAAGGACCAGAGGCAAATTGCAACCCCTTGTTACCCTGCCCACCTTCTGGCAGTCTCTAGATAATGATCTAAGGAAATAAGCTTATTACATTTATAATTAGAGGATAATTTGGAAAATTTACACTATTTACAAGGGTCACCCTACAAGGAGCCGGGAAGGTGAGACTGCTGGGCACAGAATGAAAATGGTTTGGGATACCGTTACTTTTGACATTCTCACCCTTCAGCTTATGGCCGGGAGAGTAGAGGAATTAGATTCTCTCAAGAAGCATAGGTGGCACAGAGACCATTTACCCTACTGCTTGCAAAGGTCCCAGCAGCAGTTAAGGTGTGACTGCTGCGTTGGCATAATCAGGCTGGGGAGCTAAGAGGAGCAGCATGGTCCCTACCTGCTATCCTCACTCAGAGGAATTGGGGTACACTGAGCCTTGGGACTGCCCAGCCACATGAATGCCTGGAATGGTGGACAGCTTGAGCAGCAAGGCAAGGTCAAGTCCAGTCTCTATGTAGTTCGGGAATAAACTTAGACCAGTTGATGTTGTCAGGGCCCAATGGGTCCTCCTCCAGGCCAGGGAAGCTGATATCCAGCAGCATCTTGCTAAGACTGTCAGTCATCATATCCAGAAACAGACCTTCAGTTAGAGAACGATTGGCTGAAAGACTGGGAACCTGTAGTTCTGGGGAGCCTGGCTTGGGAACTTCCAGATCAGAGGGGGAAGAGCTACTAAAGGGGTCAGAGGCAAGATCAAAGGGTTCTGAATTGAGGAGCTCTCAGGGTGAGTCAAAGAGGGAAATGCTTTTCAGCAGTGTGGTGCTCAGATCCATCAGCCCCAGGGAGTCAGGCAGGGAGCCAAAGGTGCCCTGGAGGGTTTGTACTGGGCTGAAATCAAGACCCTGTGCTTTGGTTGGAGGTGTGAGCCTCCAGGATTCAGGGGTTTGGGGGAGGATAAGATTTGCTTGGTGTGGAGGAGATGGGCAGAGTCTCCTTAATGGGGGTCTTGAAAGGTCCTCCCTCCTCCTGGAGGCAGCTCAGGTGGGAGACAGGCTCTGCCAGGAGGGGGCCTCAGTAGCTCGTCCAGATGTGCTGGGCCCTCTGAGAAGACCAGCTCAGGCTCATCCAGACAGGGAGGCTGCAGATGCTGTTCCTTCAAGACTGGCTCATCTCCCTCTTCTCCCTTCCTTTAATCACGAGCATTTCTGAGACACATCAGGCTGGGGACTTAAGTCCACTGTAGGACTTCTTGGGTCTTGGGGTGGGAGAGCAGGATGAATCCTCCCAGGAGTGAGACAGCTCCTCTTTGAATGATGGGCATGGGGAGGGCCATTCTTCCAAGGGAGGGCTCTCCACTTTAATGGGTCTTACTAATTGTGGCATGTCCTCCCCATGATGAGTTTCCTTTTCCTTGATGGACTGAACTTGAAGCAAAGGCAACAGCCCTTCTCCAAGCAGGGGTTTCTCCTCCTTCACTGGTCCCACAGCAGGAAGAGGGGCTATGCCCTCATCAGCTAGTAGCAGAAATCCTAAAAGAGAATCTAGAAGACTACATGCACAATCTGAGGGTAGGGTGACCTGCTTAACCAAGACTGGAAGCTCAGAAGCTTGGGGGCAATGCGGACTCACTTGCTATGACGGGCAAGTTCGGAGCTCATGAGTGAAGCTGCCAGGGGCAGTGGCACCTTCACTGAGGACTGCAGCACCAGTGACGGGTTCACTGGAAATCGGATGGGCACCAGGTATGAGCTGACCCAAGGAAGCAGAGGCTTCATCTTCCACCGTGCACCCAGTGGGAGTTCCATTTTGATGGTCATATTCCGGCGGAGCTCAGGATTGGGTCATTTCTGCTGCTTAAACACTTGGTCCAACGTCAAGTAGCGATTAGCACTGGGGTGAATGGTCCAAAAGGAGACCTTGCCATTGGCAGATGTCTCCCGAACAAACATGTCATGGAGGTAAATGTTGTGGCGAATGGAATTCTTCCAGCCTGGCTTGGCAATATGCTTAAAATAGGGTAAGTGGTCCTCAATCCAAGTATAGATGTCCTTCAAGATGCGCATCCTCTCAGTGCTGTTGATGGCAAACTGAATCATGGCCATGTAAGAGTAAGGCAGTCACTGAGACAGAGTCCTGCCAGGATGTTGAGGTTCCTGAGGGCTCTTCCATCTTAACCTGACTCTGCTCCGGGTGACAATTCTCTTTTTCCTCCATCTCTTGCTTGATGCTACAGGAGCCATCAGAACTCATCTTTCCAAGCCATTGGATGTTGGTTAAGCTGTTGTCCAGGGTGTAGGCTGCTGTGTCTCCACCAGCACAGTTCTCCAGTCTCTGCCCCAGAATGGGTCCAGGTGGTCTAAGAACATTTGCATCCCTAGTGGCAGGGTTTGGTCCCAATATGTCTGTAATAACTTCTGTCCTCTTAGAATCATTGCTGGTCTGGAATTGAGGCTGATGTCCTGAAGGGTGAGTTGAGGCTCTCCCACAGCTGATAAGGATTAATTTGTTGGGCCCACTGCTGCCACTCTCCTTTCCTTTGGCAATCAATGCTGTGATGATGCTTTGGATTATCAGCATTGTTGGGGATGGCCACCACCTCCATGTTGGGCATGGTAGGGTGGTTAGTAATCTTGATCCCAGTTGGAAACTTGCAAGAGTTGGACTCAGCCACCTCTTTGGGGCCTGTGCTTGACTAGGCTCCTCTTGGGCAGGGGGTCTCTTAGGTTCCTCCTCTGGTGTTTCGCATGGGGCATCTTGAACAGGAAGAGGCAGCCTCCGTCTTTTGAGAATTAGTGGCCGCCAGGGGCTGGTTTTCATTATGAATCTGTGCTATCACTCTCCATTGAGAATCACAAGAATGGACCCTCCAGATCCCAGCGCCGCCGCCTTGGCTTCTCCAACCTGGGGCTGGGCCAGGGCCCAGACAAGGACTTGCGCCAGGCCGGCCGGCGTTGGTGAAGGACGGGTGGGAACCCCTGGGGACCCCGGGATGGTCATGAAAACTTTCTAAAGCATGGTCAGTTAGTAAAATGTCAGCCATGAAATATGCTCCCTGGAAATTTCATTAGAAAGTTTCCTTTTCTCTCACTCCCTCCCACCATAGTCACAAAACAAACTCCAGTCTCAAGACATCTCCTCATTCTCCCAGAATGGGTGCTGGATTCTGTTCACAGCATCACTGGTGAGCTTTTGATTGAGGACTGCAAGACTTCAGGAAAAAAAATGCCTCTGGCGACATTTATTATGTTGATTGAGAGAGTGTGCCCTTCTGAAACTGGACTGAAACGTTTTTAAAAGGTTCACAAACAAGAGTGTCAGGAACAGGATAATGGAGAGCTACACAGATTTGAAGCCATGAACCATACTGAAAAGTGCTAGACCTGAGAAAGCCTGATTCTCAGCGTGCCATGAGAGCCCTTGTAAAAATACTTGCACAAGTCTCAACACCTGCAGTGGCAGTGATGGGCCTGGGGCAGAATGAAATCAGAACAGTGAGTGCAGATGGTTGGTTAGAGAAGGGAGTAATTTTCTATCCTTTCCCTATCCATAGCTCTGGCCTCTAGGTCCTCCCTACCCTGGTTTGTTCTCTGCAGAAAGGCAAATACAGATTTGTGGAAAATGAGTCCAGGTGGAGCTGATGCTATGGAGAACTCTGTGAACCTCATGAATGCTAAGTGGTGTGACCACCTCCTTCCCAGAAGTGTCCTATTGAGACTTGTTCAACTGGTGAATCTGACTTTCAAAGGGACTTGCACCATAGACATTTGTACTGCTAAGGATATTATGCCTGGGTGAGGGCCAGATTCTCATCTACACTTTCCTTTCTCTGCTAGTCTCATCAGGATCAGGAGCAGGAATTTCCTAATTTCCCTTCTACCTGAAGCCTCATCATTCAGAATTTCATCAATCTTCTTCCTCTCAAAAGAAGTGTTATCAAGCCTAGCATGGTGGTGCATGCCTATAACTCTAGTGACTCTGGAGGCTGAGGCAAGAGGTTCACAAGTTCAAAGCCAGGCTCAGCAACTTAGCAAGGCTCTAAGCACTAAGCAACACCCTGCCCTCAAGATAAAAAAAAATAAAAATAAGGGCTGCAGATGAGGTTAAGTGCCCAGGGGTTCAATCCTCGATTAAAAAAAAAAAAAAAAAAAAAAAACTGTTACCAGACCCACTGCTGGAACTCTTGCTGAGCTAAGGAGCAGAGGATATGAGGAAACTTACCCTTAACAAAATTCCTGTTGGATGTGACTTTCCTGGCAAAAGAACATATCAATGACAGATGGCCAACCAAGGAAAGCCTTACCTTTTACCATGATGCCTGCTTCTTGGGATGAGAAGAAATGGGAGGAGGCGGATATATAGTCACCATTTTTTGGTTTTCATTGTACTGTAAATAGTTATTTTATCTATCTCTAGTACTGCAAAAAAAATTTATTCATCTGTCAGAATCCTCTTTTGATATGGTACACTATACAATAATAGACTTTAAAGTTAAATAAACTTGAATTAATTCCCTTTCCTTAACTACAAAGAACAGGGACTCAGAATAAAATTATACGTAGAGACAATTTCTATAAGAAAAATATAAAGCAAGAGTAGGGTGAAAGAAGCTCCTATTTTGGTATGAGGCAGAACAAAGTCACCCAGAATCCATGAACCCAGAAAATTAAAAAAAGATGGGCCCAGTGCTCTAGCACTGTGACCCCATGCTGCTATGATAAAGCTCAGGTGGAAGCCTGGACCCTACTCCTTGCACCTCCAGCAGGTCCAGAACAGATCCATGCAGCAGGTGGAAAAGAAGGAAAGATGCACCTGAAAGTAGAATTCCTGGGAGGTTCCAAAAATGAGGCAAAAAATGCATCCTTGTCTCTCTCTCAGCCATGGAATTCCCTAGAGAGAATGGGAATTTCCTTGAGTCCTAAGCCCCCATGGCATCGAAGAGTGAAATTCTGGCAGGTGTTTTGAAATACGAAAGCTTCAAAAATTCAAATTTTCTTATCCATAGTAAGTAAGAATGTTCTCATATTTTTCAAAAAATATGTACATGTCTGTAATTTCAGAAGCTCAGGAGGCTGAGGCAAGAGGATCTCAAGTTCAAAGCCAGCCTCAGCAAAAGTGAGGTACTAAGCAACTCACTGAGACCCTGTCTCTAAATAAAATACAAAATAGGGCTGGAGATGTGGCTCAGCAGTAGAGTGCCCCTGAGTTGAATTCTGGTAACCCCACCCTAAAAAAAATATATGTACATGTGTAGTTTAATTATTAGAGAAAGCACAGGAAGATACTGATGTACTTTGAATCTTCACATCCAAAAACTACAAAGTACAATGGTAGGTACAGAAATGTCATATTGAGTTAACATGTGAGATGTTAGGATGTAAAAATTTCATTGCTAACACTAAAAATTTTTTGGCAAACTGGTGAAGGTTGATTATTGAAGGTTGATAGCTGTTTAAAGAATTCCTGAAAATATAATCAACAAAATTCATACTTTCAATTTTCAATTTTGATCTTTTCCCAGGATAGTTCCATGTGTGTTATAACTCGGGGTTCTGGGGAGTTGTAGCTCCAATAAGCCTTGCAATCAAGATGGCAGCTAAACTATACAGTGTATAGAGTTGCAAAGCATTGACTTTCAGTAGGTTAGGTATATGCAAAGCATTTTTTATTTGTATTTTTGATTCACAATGGATTTGTCAGGATGTAACTCCACTGTAAGTTGAGGACCATATGTCTGCATATGTAATTAACCTTTCATTCTAACTGGGGTTCCACCTAATAATTGGGTTGCATATCATGGAAATCATATACTTTGAGAATCCCTGAGAAATGGAATTCTCACCCTCCAAATATCTCTTTCATTATTGAAAAAAAAAAAAGAAAGAAAAAGAAGAAGTCATTTAGTTAAGAGCCCTGGAGAAAATTCACATACAGGGGTTCATTGACCTGAGGGACTTGTGATTCTATAAAAGAAGGAGATCCCACTCTCATTCTCTCCTGAATGGTTTCTTCCATGTGGGATTAGAAATTTCACCACAGGACAGGAGGGCAGCTGAGAAGGAACTGAATTTCTAATCCATGTTGCAGGAAGCAATCTTTTTACAGAGTTTATGGAAACTCATCAAAGCAAAAAGGAACCTTTGTCTTTAGGGGAGGTTTGGTCTCACTTCCCCCTAAACTTGGCCCACTGTGGTAATTATAACTGCCTGCCTATGAACAGCAGTATAATCAGTCTCATCCTCCAGCTGCAGCCCAGAGATGGTCAGAGAGACTGTGTTACCAGTCTTGGAGCCAGAGAAATGATTAGGGATCCCTGAGGGCCGACTACTAACACTATGAATCATGAGTTTATGGGTTGTTTCTGGATGATTTTGGTACCAGGAGACATCATTAAATCTCCCAATATCACTGCTGGTCCCAGCAAAGGAAATGGTGACTGACTGTCCAGGAGTTCCAAAGACTGAGGGAGGCTGAGTCAGAGCAGACTGGGCCCAGAAACCTGAAAAGAGGGGAAAACACACTATGTTGAATCAAACCCTTGCCAAGGCAAACCTGAGTAGGAGAAGGCAAAACCTTTGCCCAGATGTCCCCAAGACCCCATTTCTACAAATGTCACATGAGTCCAAGCCATGATGGTGGTGGTGCCCCAGAACACTGCCTCCTGAGACTCCAGCACTGGACCTGGCACCTCCAGACTTATTTATCTGCTTCATTGCCTCAGAGAAATGAAGGAGGTCCTCAATGCAAATCTGCTTCTTGCATCTTCCACTCCTCTGCCCACTCTGGCTTGTCCTGAACTCTATACACTTTTGCATCCCCCTCCTGAAGAGTTCAGCTGAGAGGATATTATCTCCCTGCCTTAGATTTCCTGAGGATCAAAAACATAAATTCTCTATCCTTGATTGCACAGGAGAGAAAGATCTGCTGAAGTCCATCATCTCTGTGAGCTTCTAGCTCTTCAGTGTCTCTGCTGAGTTCTCACTGTGTCTCAGACCTCCAGGTCACACCCCACAGTGCCCACTTCTGGAGTCCATCCTCCAAGATCACTCTACTGCTAGTAAACTAGGTTTCTGGCCCCAGGAAACACCTGCTATGGTGGTTGTTGGTGGGGTATCCCCAGAGGCAGCTGTGTTTCTGTCCCTCCCCTGTGCTATGTGTGGAAAAATATGTAGCATCAAATTCCACCAGTAAGTCAGTCACTCCCTGGACACTCACCACATGCCTCATGGACCATCCTCTGGTCAAAGAAGGAGTCTCATGGAGGAAACAGAGTGCTCCACAAAGAGCCATCATCTTGTCTTGATTTTGCAGTTTTGTTCCCGTCTGACCATTCCCAAGTAATGACCAGTTTTTGTTCAGTGGCTAAATCTCACTCTCAGAAGTGAATTCCAAGAGTCCTACTTCTTGTGTAGGGTATCTACAAGGACATGAGGGCAAAATGAGAAGGCAAAGATTTGAAAATGGTTATTTCTATTCAAACAAGGGCTATTTATTTTATTTTAAATTATTATTTTGGGGGGGTACGGAGGATTAAATCCAGGGTTTCTTAACTACTGAGCCACATCACAGCTGTTTTTATATTGTATTACAGACAGGGTCTCATTGAGTTGCTTACAACCTCGGTAAGTTGCTGAGGCTGGCTTTAAACTCAGGATCCTCTTGCCTCAGTCTCTCAAACTGCTTGGATTATAGGGATGCACCACCTTGCCTTGCCAAATATTTTATATTTTAATTGATATTTTATATCTTAGTCTATACTATCTGGTACAGTGTGTTATTGTTACAAAATAGATAAATTGTTGAATGATTAAGTCAGGCTAATGAACTTACCTCACTTTGTTTTTTAAAGCAGCTTTATTGAGTTGTAGCTCACATATCAACAATTCAGCCATTTCAAGTAGACACTCCAATGCCCCTTACTGTGTTCAGAGTTGTGTAACAATCACTACAATTAATTTTAGAGCATTTTCATCACCCAAGAAGGAAAATCCATGACCATTAACAGTCATTCCCAGTTGCTCTCTCCCTCAACATAGTCACTCACTATGCCTACCTATAAAAGAAATCACTTATCTTCTTTTCATTTTTAGATGATTCTTTATTCTAAAATTTTAAAATCACTTTTATGTGAGGAGAATATTTAAGTTATATTTTATTCAATTTTGAAATACATAATATTTTAGTATCAACTGTAGTTACCACACTATTCAGTAAACCAATAGAAATTATTTCTCTGATTGAAAATTTGTCCCCTTCTATTAAATCATACTTTATCCTGTTCTGTTTCCCACCTTACCCCTGTTGTGGAACCATTTTACTCTCCACTTCTGTTAGTACTTCTCTTATAGTTTCCACATATAATCGAAATCATTTAGTTTTTATGTTTCTGTGCCTAGCTTATTTCACCTAGCATAAGATTCTTTTATTTATACTATACACTTCATACTTAACTGAATATTACATTCAATTTTATGTTTAACTTACGTGTCTAGTCAAAGAGAATTAGTTATTTAAATTATTTTCTATCTTCTTGATTTGTTTCCATCCTACCCCATGAACATGGCATGACAAAGCAGAGTTATCTTAAGGAGCATATAATAAAAATAACACAATTGTGACACTAAGTCCCCCATTCATTTTCTGAAAATACTTTTAAAAGTCTTTTCTATCTTTGTATGTTTTGTGTGGCCTGTGGTTCAGACTGATTTAATTTCCTAAGTAAAAATATCACTGTTGTTTCTAGATTTCATTTAGAGTGTAGTAAGCACACACCATCTTTTCAGACTGAATTCAGCATATAAACCTCAGACTGCATACATGGAAGATCTTTGTGACCACTAGGCAAGCAAATCACAGAAGGCAGACTGGAGAAGAGACCAGCACATTAAAAATACACAGAGGAGAATTTTCCACTTCTATCCTGTGTCTCAGGCCTGCTCTTAGGAAGCCTGAGACCTGGATAGGGAATGGGCATATAGACAGAAAGAATTCTAGAAGAGGCCCCAGAGGAGAAAGGGAATTCCTCATGCTCTGAGAAACCTTGGAATATGCATGTTTTCTTTGTCTCAGTGGTTTTCTTTCCTTCATTCTACTTGATCCTCACTTGGGAAATTCTTCTGTGGTCACAGCAGTGGCAATGGAGACTGTCGGGCCTTTTCTTCATTTGAAAAGCTAATTTCCCAAGAGAGTATCATGTAATCACACTACTTTAATCTCTGTGTCCTCTTAGAACTGGATGTGGTCCTGGCCTCTGTCACAGGGAGTGAACAAATATTCAAGGAAACAAAAGTTCCAGTCTCATTGCCAGAAGACCAGAAGGGAAGGCTTGAGGACCCACACACAGTGGTGAAGGTTGTGGAAAGGAATGAGTTTGGAAAAATCACTCTGCAACTCAGGCTCAATTCTGAGCTACCCTTGTATCAACCAGATCCCACAGGGGATAGGAAAGAATATGGACAAGATTTGACATGTAGACTGCTACCTGGACCTCAGCTGACCCCTGCAAGGCTTACAATAAACAAAGATCCAAAGGTCAAGGCAAAGGGTTTCTAAATAGATACAAAGTTGAAACCACATTCCACAGAAGGCTGGTTTAGTATATATGTGCATATAGTCTGCTAAAGCAAAAACATCAACATAGGATTTTAAATACTCTCATCATAATAATATATAATTAGACATATCCCATATAAAATACAAGGCAACTGCATGTAAAGAACCAGGAAGTTTCTACTGATATTAGAAGAACAATGAACAGATATCCTATTGACCAAGTAGGACAGCTGATATATAATTAAGACTCTATTGCAAAGATTTTACACCAACCTTTAAAAACTGATTATTATAGAAATAATGTCAAAGTATCTGGAAATGAGAGAGACAAAGTTACAGCAAGGAAACAAAAGAAAGAGTGAGCCAAAAAGTGGCAGCACCACAGATGAGAACTATGTTAGATAGGGGTAGGAGAAGATTGATCTCTGAAGAAAGACTAATGACCTTCAAGTCATAGCAAGGAACTGTCCCCTCATGTAAAACCTAGAGAAGGAAAAGTGTTTTCTATTTTTTTTTAATCAAAAAGGATTTCTAGTTTCTGGTCTGACATATAAGAAATGCATGATGTCTAATAAGTAAAGTCCGCATACACCAGATTCAACCAGGTTCTTATACAAAATTACATATAGGAGGAAGTGAGGGGAAAGGGAAAAAAAACAAGAGAGAGAAATGAATTACAGTAGATGGGGTAGAGAGAGAAGATGGGAGGGGAGGGGAGGGGAGGGGAGGGGGGATAGTAGAGGATAGGAAGGGCAGCAGAATACAACATACACTAGTATGGCAGTATGTAAAAACATGGATGTGTAACCGATGTGATTCTGCAATCTGAATACAGGGTAAAAATGGGAATTCATAATCCACTTGAATCAAATGTATGAAATATGATATGTCAAGAGCTTTGTAATGTTTTGAACAACTAATAATTAAAAAATAAAAATAAATAGATCATAAAAAAGAACCCCTGGGTTCAATTTGCAGTACAAAATATATATATATACAAGAACCCTGGGACAAAATCAAGAGACCAAATCTGACAGTTGCTTGGATAGAAGAGAGCATGGAGATACAGACAAAATATATTTAGAAACTCGGTGGTGAGAAAAATTTCCCACTTTAGAAATGAGAAAAAACACCCACATACAGGATGCATATAGAACCCTGAATAGACAAGATCAGCAAAAAACTTCCCCAAGACACATTAGAATCAAAACACCTAACAGAGAAATTGAGTAAAGAATATTAAAAGCTGCAAGAGAAAAATATCAGATCCCATTTAGAGGCAAACCAATAAGGCTCACATCTGACTTCTCAACTCAGATCCTAAAATAATGAAGGGCCTGAAATAAGATATTACAGACTCTAAAAGATAACAATTGCCTGCTAAGATTGCTATCCAGCAAAGCTATCTCTCAGAACAAATGAGAAACAAAATCTTTCCATTATAAGTTTGAGTTGAAATAATTCAGGACCATTAAACCAGCACTACAAAAAATACATAAAGTTATTCTCACAAAAATGACCCCAAAAGCAAACCCCAAAGCTTCCAAAGAGTTGAAGATCAATAGAAGTGCAATTTACTAATTTTTAAAAGGCAGAATTAAATATAATAAATTAACAAAAATATCAGGTAATAATAATCATTTCTCCATAATAACACAGAACGTAAATAGTCTCAACTCCTCAAAATAGATAGGCAGAATGAATTTAAAAATTGAGGTCTAATTACATGCTGTTTGCAATAGACTAATATTTTAGGCAAAGACATTCATAGGCTGAAAGTTAAAGGATGGAAAAAAAGATTCCATTCAAATTGAGTAAAAAAATAAGCTGGAGTGGCTATTTTCATATCTGACAAAGCAGATTTCAAGCAAAAAAATCAATCAGAAGAGAGAAAGAAGACCACTACATAACTAGTAAAGGGACCAGTCAAACAAAAAGGTATGGAAA